AGGGCCTTTAGCATGAGGTGCTTATGGATGCTGGTGTGAAGATGGCTAAAGGGCCTTTAGCATGAGGTGCTTATGGATGCCGGTGTGAAGATGTCTCCATGTTCTTTTCCACTCTCCATCCCAGGAGGGCACCTCAAAGTTTGCCAGTCTGGAGAGCTGTGCTAAGGAGCACCAGAAACGATCTCACAAGAGGCTGCAGCTTCAGAAAGAAATGGTGAGGGGGGGCTGGCATTACAGTGCTGGGTGGGCAGCAGGGGGACGTGGGAGTGTGTAGCAGATGCCGGGATCCACTCTGGATGTGACGCCTCTGCGGTCTGTCCTCAGGGTGCCATGCAGGGGACAATCCCCTACCTGGGGACCTTCCTGACAGACCTGACCATGCTGGACACGGCCCTGCCTGACCTGGTTGAGGTGAGTCCCACAGACTGCAGTGGCTGCTCCTGGCCGCAGCCTCGTCCCGGGGGGGGGGCGGGGCATGGGGTGTCGCAGTGCTGACCTTCTCACCCCTCTTTGTTTCACAGGGGGGTCTGATCAACTTTGAGAAGAGGCGCAGGGTGAGTTTGGTGGCTGCCGGACTGCTGTGGGCCTGATGTGTGTGTGTGTGTGTGTGTGTGTGTGTGTGTGTGTGGGGGGGGTTTTCAGGTCCCCACAAAGATCTGTGGTCAAAAAAAGTAAAAATGCCAAAACTCTTGAATTTTATTTGGTTACTTATGGTTAAGGTTATGGCTGGGTAGCGGTTAAGGTCGTCATGTTATGATTAGAGAAAAAAGATAGAAATGTCCCCACATAATTACAAACCTGTGTGTGTGTGTTTTCCTTTACTTGATTGAATTACCTGTTGACTGAAGGATTCCCTTAATGTAACATTTTAATTCATATCATATTAAAGTGAACGAGGGAGCCACTGGGTATAGATGAGCAGTGGCAGTGTGCTGTGGTATAGATTAGCAGCGTGCTGCTGGGTATAGATTAGCAGCAGCATGCTCTGGTTTAGAAGTGCCGCTGGGTATAGATATTTGGGCTGCGGTATTGAGGTGTCACTCTTGACCACCTGCCCTGTGTCTGCAGGAATTTGAAGTCATTGCGCAGATCAAGCTGCTGCAGTCGGCCTGTAACAGCTACTCGCTGCACCCTGACCGCCGCTTCCTGCGCTGGTTCCACTGCCAGCCCCAGCTCACTGAAGAGGAGAGGTACCCCCCCTCCCCCACACTCTCCTCACCTATGCATGTCCTCCTGGGTATGCCATGGTCCCTCACTCTGTTCCCCCCTCCAGCTACACCCTGTCCTGTGAGATCGAGGGAGTGGGAGATTGCAGCCCTACCTCCCCAAAGGCGAGGAAGAGCATGGTGAAGAGGCTGAGTCTGTGAGTCCCTGACCGTACACCCGCCGCGCGTCTGTGAGGTCACGCAGTGCACGGAGGACCGCGGGGGGGGTGCCCTCGCTAGACCGCGGGTGCTTTGGCTTGACATGTTATCCGCTCTGAGGCCTGCGCTGTTTGCCAGGTGTGGTGTGACCGCAACCCCCGACCCAAAGACCGGGAACGAAATGTAGCTCTTGCGTCTAGATACTCTAGCAGACAGCCGTGTTTGTAATAACATAACAAATTGTTCCTGCTGACAACTGTCATACTGTAAATCAATCGGTTCCTGGTTTTATCAATATCTGTTTTCTTAGTGCAATATTTGCTGTAATTATTGTCATTTCCAGCTATCTATATCTGTAAGTATAACTGATTTCTATACAGAAATAGCTGTATTCTGGTACTGTGTATCGTCTGCTGTTGTCTTTTTGCATACTGAGCAATCGTTAATCATGAACAGTTTCCTCCCGGATAACAAGTTTTATGATTCTGAATAACGTATGAGCTTGAGGCCGGACCAACCGGCGTGAGAGTTTTTCCAGCACAGCTATGATGTGAGAGGCAGCCTCTGTCCTGGGAAACGGGGCTCTTTAGATTTTATCCAGTTGACCTGTCCACCCACAGCGTACTGGGGGATGGAGAGCTGGCAGGGGCACTGTCTGTTCCTCCAAAGGGGGGGATAACTGTAGAAGTCGTTAAGAATAGCACTTGGTTTAATCGTGGTTTTGTAGCGCTTGATGGGAAATGAGCTGCTTTTCCCAAGACACTGTCACAGATGTGCTTCCTCTGAGACGCATGCTGGCACAGCAGTGTATGAGATGTTTACATGCCCGCCCCCCCTTCCCCCCCCCCTTTCCGTTTCAAGGCTGTTTCTGGGAGCCGAAACTGGCATGGCAAGCTCTCCTGTGAGGGAGAACCCTAGGTCGCCACCTGCTGGCAGCTCTGGGGAAAGCATGGACTCGGTCAGCGTGTCCTCCAATGACTCCAGCAGCCCGTCGGACAGCGAGGGCTTGACGCCCACACACATGCCTAACATGGCACAGAAGGTACAGCGCGATATCCATCATGATGCTGGTGCAGCTACTTTCTGTGTGATTTCTATGCTGATTTTTTTCCTTTCTCTCTGCCCTCCCCAGTTGTCAGAATCCTCCTCCTGCTCCTCTCTGCACTCCATGGACACGATGTCGTCGTCATCAGCCAGCATCCCCCTGATCCCGGCCTCCCCGACGCCGTCAGGCTGCTCCTGCTCCCACCGCCGCACCCCCTCCCTGACTCCTGCCTCCCCCTCGTCCCCCAGCCTGCCCCCCGCCTACAACACGCAGGCACAGGACGCCTGCATCATCCGCGTCAGCCTGGAGCAGGGCAACGGAAACATGTACAAGAGCATCATGGTGAGTGGCTGCTTCTGGACACACTGTGTGTGTGTGTGTGTGTGTGTGTGTGTGTGTGTGTGTGTGTGTGTGTGTGTGTGTGTGTGTGTGTGTGTGTGTGTGTGTGTGGAGTTTGCATGTTCTTCCCGTGTTTACATTGATTTCCTCTATTAACTCCTGTTTCCTCTCACAGCCTAAAACCATGTGGTTGAGCTCATTTGTGTCTCTAAGTGTGTGTGTGAGACAAAAACCTGTTGTTTTGACGTTGTGGGGACCATTTTTTCAGTCCCCACAAGGGAAAACTCAGTTTTATAAAAACTCTGTGAATGCAATCAAAAAACCTATAAAATCGTGTATTTTCTTTGGTTACTCATGGTTAAGGTTAGGACTGGGTAGGAGTTAAGGTCGTCATTGTTGGGATTAGAGATGGATGGATGGATGGATGGATGGTCCCCACAAAGATATGAGTACAAAATCTATATGTTTGGGTGTCGCCAATAATGAGATTCTGTGAAAAGTGTTTTTTTTTTTTTTTGTACTGCTACAGTAGATTTAACTGCTGAGAGGATATTTCATGCAGAAGGGCTTTATGTTCCCTTTTTAAACTGGTTTACACAACTGGATTTTTTTTACTAGTGCGGTTTGGTGTTTTGCTTGCTGAGACTTGTACTGGAAACCAGTTCACCGGAAAGAGGAGCGACATCACCGAGACGACAAGTGTGTCGTTCTCCGGCGCTGAGTTGATAGTGAATATCTGACATTAAGCTAAGCAATAACTAGGAGCTGCCCAGGAGCTATGACATCATTATTTATCACGTCAGCTGACCAGAGGGAGGATGCAGATATGAGTGTGGATGCTCTCAGGCTGTTAGGTCTGTTTGCTAACAAACCTCATCTGTCATCAGCTGACCAGCCAGGACAAAACCCCTGCAGTTATCTCACGCGCCATGACCAAGCACCACCTGGAGGGGGAGCCGGTGGACACCTACGAACTGGTGCAGGTCATCTCTGAGGAAAGAGGTACCACAGAATACCTGGAGCTCCAGCCTTCTCTCTTTCCTACATCAAACCTTCTTCGTGTTTTCACTGTCCCCCTCCGCTGTGACCCAGGACCGGCACGCTGTTGTGGTCTCTTTCACCGACGTTCTCATTAAACACTAATGAGCTTGTTTTGCTCTAAAAATAAGTTCCAAAAAAACAAAGCAGACCACATCTGTGGACATAAAGAACATACAGTGTGTGTGGCTGCCATGTGTTAAGCTCTGTACGGGCATATGGTCCGGTACTAAATGAGGCCCCCATTAATGCATTCCTCCTCCTCCCTCCCCTCTGCCCCCCCCCCCCAGAGCTTGTGATCCCGGACAACGCCAATGTCTTTTACGCCATGAACACGTCGGCCAACTTCGACTTCCTGCTGCGCATGCGTGGCTCTGCCGGGCGCCCCGTCCAGCTGCGCAGCCGCTGCAGCTCCACCCTCCCGCGTGCGCAGCAGAGGACCAGCCTGTCGCTGAGACTCAGCAAGGTCACATTGTGACACCCCTATGGGGGGATTGGGGGGGGGGGAAGCTTGGGAAGCAGATCATAGGGACAGACTGGACATGAGGAGGAAGGGAGACTGGCCTCAGTCACCCCCCCCCCCCCCCCCCCCCCCCCCCCCCCCCCCGGACTTGTCGGCTGCTCTCCATTGGCCCGTGTCCCCCATGCCCCACCCCCTCACCATGTATGGGCATACAGATTGTTGCTACCAGTCCCACGTATGCAGGAGAGTCTCTGTCCCACTGCAGTTCTTCGCTGTTCGGCCGCAGCTCTCCCCTCATCTGCGTCGAAGACCGAGTCCCGGCCAGTACCGGGTTCCCCGGTTCCGGTCCTGGGGGGGGCAGTTTGCAGATTCCCCTGTTCGGACACACCTACTAAATCTGGCAAGTAACTGGTGAGCTAAGATTTGTTTAAGCAGGGAACTCTGCTGGATTCTGGCTCCCAGGACTGGAAGTGGGGAACCCTGCTATAGGGAGAGGACCTTCGGGACGCCGTCGCCATTGGTGATGACAGAAACCATTGTATTCCGCCCCCCGGTCTTCTGTCAGGGCATGCATCTCTCATACTGCGAGCTGTGTGACGAATGCAGTACTACTACTGCATTCTGATTGGCTCCGGCTAGGGGGTGCATCTCCAGGCCCTCGAGAGGCATCAGTGGTGTTTTAGGGCCCGGGGCCCCGTGTCCCCTGGAGGCTCAGCCAGAGACCGGAAGCTGCGCTTGCTGACGGGTGGCTGTTGTCAATGACTGTGAGGGAGGGGCTCACTGTGGAGTAGGGGGGCACCACAATGTAGTGATCATTTACCTGTATAACCTCTATTCAGCACAAGGTTAAATATGTCTGTCTTTTGTATGTGGGGGGAGGGAGGGGGGCTTTATAAGAAAGTATTTACTGTGGGAGGTACGGGAGGATCTGTGAATAGTTTTGTATTCCCACCTGTTCGATTTATTAAATTGTTTAAAAGTTAAACACAGACGTACAGGCCTAGAAAGTCACAGGAAAAGAGGGTGTCACCACGTTGGCTGCTGTTGTCATGGATACTGTGGTGTGTATCCCAGATTCACTTTGATGTAGAAGATGGTCCCCACTGTGCCAGTTTGATGGCACCAGGGGCGGGGCTGTCTGTCTGTGGCCACCCCTTCAGCCCAGTTTCATCCACACTGTCACCTGTCCCTCCCCCCTGGCTGCCCCCTGCCTGATAGATCCATCTCGCTCCTATCAGCCCCACGTGCTGTTGCTGCACCGTCGCTCACCCGCGTGACCGTCCCCTGCTTCACGTCAGCAATGGCCGCCGCCTTTGTCACTTAAGTGCCTGTGGAAAAGTGTGTAAGACGAGTCATGCTGTGCACCCATATCGCTCTGCAGCTGAAACGCCACCAGCATCTACGAATCGCCCCCCCCCCCCAGATGTGGACTGACCTGCTGCACGTGCTGCTTGTTCCTCTGACACGTGCATTTCGTTCACCTTACCAATCCGCCCTCTACACTCTTGCCTGCCGCGTGCTATCGCTGTGGGATGGGTGAACAGTCACAATAAGGGGTTTACAAGTGTGCACACATTACATTAATGACGTGCACTCCTCTGCTTCTGGATACGATGATGTGCTTGTGTGAAACGGTGGGCACAGGTGCGGTCAGCCCAGACTAATGATGTATCTATCAATCTCGTATCACACTGCACTTATGGAATTCCCCCTTCCTCACCAAAGAATTCTGTACCAACAAAAGTAAATAAATAATTTATCACTAACTTCATGGACGTCTTTCTAATGTCACTAGTTACCCTGGTTTGTGCCACACACTCCCCCGACTGCCGCCGTGAACTCGTTAGTGAACATGTCAGCGCCCCCTGGTGGCGGACAGTACACTTTTAACGGATCACACAATTCACGGTACAAACCTCGGTTTGGGTTGACGTGTTGGACGTGTTTCCTGCAACATATCCGAGTTCGGTATAATAAAGCTGACGGTCTAGTTTTACTAACTGCTTTCCACTGTTGATGTAATTCATTGAGAAACCAAAATATCCCCAAATCGGTAACTTTTAACATGTTTCCGCATTGACCATCTACTTGGGAATTTACATTCTGCCCGTGTCAGTAAATGTACCGTTACAGCCGTGCTCAGTAAGCAGGGATCATCCCATGCGATCCCACCCCTACCCCCACCCCCACCCCCACTGACGAGTTCAACAGCGGCCAGCATAAGGCACACAAACTGCATGTTAATAGTATGACAGTCATTGTAACTTGATTTTTACTAGCATACAGCGAGAACTCAGTGCTAAAGTGAAATCCAGGTCCTTTTATTTTTGAAATGTTACTTTACAAATCCTGTCCTGGCTCAAAATGTCCTCCCTGGCATAGATTATCTGGTCACCCTATCTTAATGTTTCTACATTTTTATTAAGTGAGACTTCCACTTCTCACTTTAATGTATTAAATATCATTGTCAACTCAGTGATACACAGATCAGAGATAGTACCAGTGTGATCTCAAAATTCAGTGGCGTTCCCATTCCGCACTTTAAAGTTACAACCAGCATCAAAGACCTGGGTGGATGAGGTTTCCTTGTCTGTCAGGGTACCAAACCTGGGGCAGGGCTGCTATGTGAACACCACCCTGCAGTCTCTTCCACCTGCTGTCCATCTGCAAGGATGTCAGTTGGCAGGAGGAATACCGGGGCCAGTCCCATCTACTGACCTGAGGAGGTACCTAGCAGAAGTATCCACCTCGTACAGAACTCTGAGTGACAGTGGAGATACCAGCTCCCCTTCTCTGTGGAGATACCCGCTCCCCTTCTGTGCCCCTTGATTTGCAGGTATTTTTTCCTGATCATCAAGCTTTAATCATATCACTGTGCAGAAGATATTGCCGGGGACCTCGTGCTCTTGTCTTCTGCATAGTGATACGATTGGTGCGTGAAGTTTGGTAGAAGAAAATAGTTCATACATTAAACTGTTCCCTACAAAGACTGGATTATGTTCAATAACTGGCTCATGATTTCTGGTAAGAGATGTTGCTGTTGGGTCTCTGGTATTTATTTGTGGTGCTAAGGGTGTCTCATTACGTTGTTTTAGGTTTATTTTGTGAAGTATTTTCTGAAAAAATGCGTTATTCACACTCCTGAAATGTTCCTCATTGGCCAGCAACAGCTAACCCTGGGACGGTCAATGTGACAAGCGTCTGAATATCATACTGCCATAAATATTCACTCAAAATTATTTTATGCATTTCCTGGATTCAACATCAGTTTGGAAAATGCTCCAGGACAAAGTCAAGTGCTAGAATGAAACCAGAGAAACTCATTTTTCTTGGAGATGTGGCAACATGGTGAGTAAACACACAGTACTCTGTCCCTATTTGGATTTTATTTAATATTTAAAAAATTGTAACTTTTAGCAAACGAATTGTCCCAAACTTAAAACCATCTATAAAAAGATACTTAATACAGATAACATGGAAACAATAAATTAGGAAATAAAAAAAACTTGCTCCATATAAAAGCAAAAAACACACCTGAGTGAAGTAATTTTCTACATCCACTATGGCATAGGTTTCAAACCCCTCCCAAAAATAAAATGAGAACACAATACTGAAATCTTGAACTAAGGCTACGGTTCATTACTGTTCATTTGACCATAACGCTCAAAGACCTTTGCATGGATTTGTAACCACGGACATCACAAAGTGTGTGTTTACACTATGGAGGTGTGTACTGCGTTTAGTTACTAACACTGTGTCTGTTTGGTGAAGTATCAGTGTTCTGTATATGAAGAGAAATACTGCAAAGACATTATAACCAATTACTCCATCACCATAATTACTTATTTATAAATCTGCCTCTGGTAAATACCCAGGCTTCCATAACTAGTTTGGGCTTTTATTTTGCAGTTCAGAGACAAGTACTAAACACACTATTAAATAAATCAAAAAGAAAATACAACATAAAATCAGATGAGTGAAATGAGAGGTGCTGATTTATCTATTCAACTGCACAGGATCATGAACAGCAGAGGTTTTCTGTGATGAGGGAAACCCAGGGGTGGAAAGTTCAGGTCCAGAAAGTACAAATTTTGTTTCAACCAACCAGCTGAGTGCTCTGTGACTGTGACTCTTTATACTTTACTGGTTGGTTGAAACAACTTGGTCTGGATTTGTACTTTCTGGACCTGAACGTTCCACCTCTACTGAAACCAAAAATTTCCAGAACCATCAAGGTTGCAAAATTGTTTCGTGTGGCATAAGAAAAGTCAAGTTTTCCAGAGAGAGTACAAAATTTGCATGCTTATTAGGAGAGAATGGCAAGGGGTTAAAGACCAGTCAAATGTTTCCCAGTTCAGTCCGCGGGGATCTGCAGACAGTGCACATTTTCGTTCTCTCCCAGCTCCCAGTATGAGGACTGTCTGGCATGGAGCTGGGAGGGACCAAAACATGGACTGTCTGTGGGTCCCTCAGGACCGGGTTGGGAAACACTGTGCCGATAATTGTTAAAATTGGAGACAGACAGCAGTCAAACCAGACCGAGACACTGAAGGAGGGGGAAGCAAAGCCGTCACAGCAACCTGTAAACACAAGCTGAGAAACGAGTAAAGAGCACCGGCAAGGAAGGACATGCGGGGACCTCCCCTCCTCCTCACCGTATCGAAGACGAAATCTAGCATGGGAGTATCTGTGTGGCACTCTTCTGCGCCCCAAGACAGGCCTGAATCCGGGCAATTCAGGGCAAGCAGCCCAAGGATGTATAGATGCCCCACGGGCATAACTTTGGGTTGAGTACTGGGGGGTTGGGGTTTCCACCCATTTAAGGGCGTTTTGATTATTGGTGGGGTTATCTTCAATAATTTACGCCCATGGACACTCCCACACTGGTAACATTGAATTAACTGAATTAACAGCTTTTCGAAGGGGAAAAAGTCTATACTGGCTGAAACTTCTAGAATCTTGGGAAAATGGTGTTATACCAGATATGTGTATAATCCCTTACAGACTTAGTCCTGTGCTGTAACTACCTTTCATTCATCCACCCAATATCATTAGCAAAGAAAAAAAAATTATTCATCCATGAGTACCCGAACAAAGTACCTCCTCTACTTATAACAAATCGATTTATAATTAATTTTTTCACGCCAAGAAAGTAAAAGATTCTATTAATAAAATAATCATTCCCTGAAGCCGATTTCCTCACGAAGACGAGGTGCGCAGTAGAGGAGCGGAAGCTGCGCCATCTAGTGACACAACAAGCAAACTGCATGACAAAGTTTTACGTATGAGGTGGTGTAACGCAACTTCACATGCAGTACAGTAAAACGCGTAGGCACTCAGATCTGGGATCAAAAGCAACTGACGTGCCCTCTAAAGGCAATGAACTTCAGTATATTACGTCCTTTATTGCACTTCTTCAAGCACTTGGACTTATACAAGACAAACGTAAATGCGGGGCGCAGTAGGTTTGTGGGAGTGGCATTCGCCAGTCAGACTACCATGTGCTCGGCGTTCACAGTACTGGTCAGAGAGGACGGGAGCGCCGCACGGTGGGGAAAACACCCGCAGACTCGGCGGGGATAAAGGCAGTACCTGCAAGGAAAGTGCTTGTATTGCATATACATAAAAACGGATTTTTCGTGCACCGGGGTGCACGCCTGTAGAAAAAACAGCATGGTTCAAACATAGATGAGAAATGGTAAGGCTGTTTGTGAACGTTCGAAATTCTAAATCGTCGAAGGATTCGTCAGGACACTGCACCTCAGTTTCTAATTAAAAAAAATACATACAGCAACGTTTATCTAGCTGAAGCCGGCATATATCGATATCACCCCTAATATAAGGACTATACGAATCACAAGCATCACTACAAATAGCATGTATATTATTTCTACGGCAAATGCTTTAAGCTTACAGGAACTGCACCGCAATCAGGTGCAATGCTACCATGTGACAATGGTCACATTTCATGGGTGCTGTGAGAATATATACACATATACACACACACACACACACACACACACACACACACA